GGGCATGATCTGGCCGTCCACGCTCGACATGTACGCGACGCACTGGTCCGTGGTGTTGCGGTAGACCGACGACGATGGGGATGCGGCCGCCGCAGCCGCCCAGATGCCGAAGGGCGTGGCATTGGCGGCGAGGCGGGCGTTGAGCATGTTGTTGTACTCGCCCGTCGAGACGCCGCCGCGGCTGCGGGTGGTGCGCGGCGCAGGCGCACCCGCTGCGGGCGGGTTGACGTTGCCGTCGTTGGCCGGGTCTGGCATGATCACCACCTCCTCGTCGAGGGTCAGCCCCCCGGCGTGGTTGTCGGTGGTGGGGAGGAAGACGGAGTCGCCGCGGGTCACGTTGTGTTGAAGACCGACGACCGCGCAGCCGTCTAGTCTACGGCCACACACACACACATAGTGTCCTTACCACCCCTGGACTGCATCTGCGCAGTTTCGTACCGCTGCGGCGCGGTTTTGCAAAAACCGTTCTGCAGCGGCGCGGTTTTGCCCTTCACCCGCAGCCTGGATTGATAGTCATTGTGGGTGTGGGGGCCGCGGGCCAGGACTTTTGTTTGAACAAAGTTTTGACAGTACATTTCTGTCGGGCCTTGGAACAGCTTGTGAGTGGTCACTGAAGACCTTCACAGTTGGTGGCGGCGGGGCAACGATCCCCGGGACATTACGACAACATGTCGTCGACGGACAAGCTGGTGATTCCGGCCTACAAACAGAGCTCCGAGCGGGAGTTCAACGAGTGGTTCCGCAACCTGCGGACCGCGGCGAAGCAACACAAGTACCTCCTCGACATCATCGAGGTGGGCACCATCCGGCCGGGCGCGGAGCGCGAGGCCGAGGCGGTCGCGCTGCACGTGCGCTACAAGAACATCGGCACTGCGGACGGCCTCATCCCGGCCATGATCGACAAGTTCTTCAAGGACCTGTCGGTGACTCTGTCGCGCCAACTCTACGGTGCGCTGCAGAACGCCGTCAAGGACGACGACACGCTCGCCGAGATGTTGGCGGACGAGGACGC